CTTAAAAGGTGGCAGTTTGAACTTATCCAGGAAGTGCCTGGCAATCTGCTCCCATAAGGGTCACAGCCCAGGAAACCCCGCGAAGCAGTCTGCTCTGGGGTTGCCAGGAGTCTCAGTTGACCTCATAGATACAAGTTTGGTTTTCCTCATAATTGTGTGTGCATTTAAGTATATCTCTACATATGTATGTGTATTACATGTGTATCTATGTATATATGCTATATGTGTGTATCTATTCATTTATCAGTGCGTATGTGGGGATAGAGGAGCCCTGGAGTGTAGTGGTTATGCTTTGGGTTGTGATCCGCATAGTCGGCAGTTTGAAGCCACCAGCAGCTCCTTGAGAGAAAAGATTGGGCTTTCTACTCTCATAAAAGTTATAGTCTGGGAAACCAACAGGGAGTTGCTCTGAGTTAGCATTGACTGATGGCAGTGATTTTGGAGTGATGTGGGTATGTACATGTGTAAAAGGTCCCTGGTGGAGCCCTGTTTAAGAACTTCGCCAATAACCCAAAGCATTCAGCTTCCTAAAGATGACAACCGCCAACCCCTGTGGAGCCATCCCACTCTGTCACACAGGGTCACTGCAAGCCTGAGTAGATGGGAAGACATCCAACAATAGCATGCACATATATGGAGGTTTTAAAATGTTCTTGGAGAAATCTCATTATATTTCATATTCTGCTTCCCCACAAACTTTTGAACACCTCCCACCCATGTGTTTATGTATGTGTACACAGGTTTGTTATATGGGTACATGAAATGCCAGATTAAGCATTGCAAAACCAAGGGAAACCTAATGGGCAGCACATTGGATTTGATTTTGTATCTGTCAGGGTGCTGCAGAAAATAAGAGAGCTCTTGACCCTTGAGGACCAGAAGGACTCCAAGGGGGATGTAGTGGCTATTGGAACCTGTAGAGAGGGAGTGTGTGCCGAGAACTGGTTGGCAGAAGCTGTGAATTGTGGTACAGGGAAGCAGTCAGCCCACAGCCCCATAGTGGGAGTGAGCCAGGAGAGCAACCACCCAAGGTCTCTTTGCTTCTGGGGCCTCTTATTGGCTGAACTTTATTCAAGTCAAAAGGCAGGCCGGCTGTGGGTGGTGTCCACTCTGGGAGGACACAGTCTCTGAGAAGCACCTGGGAAATGGTTGTGTGTGTTCCCTTCCCTCTTCTAGGCAATACATTGCCACACTCACTCGGGTCATCCATGGGCGGGGTGGCCAGGGAGAACGTCATTTCTCAGGAGAGCAGGGGCCTGCAGAACCAACAGCCCAATGTTGGCTGGAAACTTTGGGTTCTTGCACCCCACCCTGTGGCTTTGAGGAGTGGGAGAGCCCCCGGTCTGTGTTTTATCTGCCCCTCCTATAGAGTCTAGTGCTTATTCAAGTTGGAGAGCTCCTGTTAGATGTCTGGGGGCCTGAGAGGCCCAGCAAGGATGGCAGTTTGCTAAGATGGCTACTACTAGCACAAGCAGACTTGGAAATGCACATGGTACATGTGGAGCCCCTGCTTAAAAGTCTTGCAGCTGCAGCCCCCCCCCCCCCCCCAATCTTCCCTTTGGTGGCCATAAAAGAGACAGACTAATGCGTTACATTCAGGCCTTGGGGCCAGTCCCACAGGCAGCACATCCCCCAGAGTTTCCAAGTTCTCCTCTCAGACTTGCAGGGAAGTTCCAAGCAGGCCTCAGCCTCTGGGAGATTGTTTTTGAAAAACAGATGCAAATGCTGCCTGTGCCTTGTTGTTTTCCTGGTGCCTGGCAGTGTTTGGTAAACAACTTGATTGCTAGGTCTTGGCCTCAGGGAACCACAGCTGCTCTTTCTCTCTCCCTGCAGACTTTTGTACCCAGCAAGGATTGCTTCAGGGAAAAATAAACAGGGGAGAACAAAACAAGAAAACACCACTGTTGTTTTGTTGCAGCCTCTACCTGTTTTCCCTGAGCTGGAGCTGTTTTGCAACTGCAGGACTTGAGCCTTCCGTTGCTGGGTTAAAACAAACAAACCAACCAACCACAAAACTGGCCCCCAGACTTATTCCCTGGCTAGACTTCTCAGAAGCCTTGGATGGGACTGGGAAAGATAGAGGCCTAGCCACTGAGAGCATCTATGCATTTTAAAATATGTAAATTGAAGAGGGAGAAAGCTTCATGCTTTCTAATGACCCCCAAGATGATCATCTGGTTTTCCAAATCTCTAGGAAAACAGATTGAATATGGTACAATGAATGTTTCTGCACTTCTAGGCTTTTCTCAAAACTATTTTAATGGGCTTTTAATTCATTGCAGCTCTTGATTAGCAGGGTTGAGGCCTGCATACTGCAGAGCCTGGGCCAAGGTGCCCTTTGGGGCTCTGGTGAAGTGGAAAAGGACAAAGGCCCGCTGTGCGTTCAGCCTCACCCTCCCAGGGTCCACCCTCACCAAGCTCCTTGCTGTAAGCTGGTCAGGTCTTCAGAGTAGAGGCTAGGGTCAGTCTTCATGCAAATTTCCTGAGATGCCTCTTAAACATGCAGATTCCTGGGACCTGATTTTCAAGCATGCTCAGTTGCACACTGGTATTTTGCAGTCCCTGGCCTGGGTGGTTGGTGTTAACAGTGTTAACGATAATAATTGAACTGTCATCAGTAGTAAGTGCTGGTGTTGTCCGTTATTGCTATTAGGCCCTGTCTAATTGATTCCTACTCATGGACCCTGTGTGGCAGAGTGGAACTCTGCAGGCCATCGACTCAGGCTGTAAGTGTTATATGAGAGCAGATCTGTTCTCCCCCGTGGACTCCCTGGGTGGATTGGAGCAGTCAACCTATCAGTTGGCAGCCAAACGCTTACCCACTGTGCCACTGAGGTTGCTGGTGTTGTCAGATTTTTATTTTTCATGTAGAGCCATTGGTTTGCTAGCACGTTTACTTTCATTTACTCATAAGTCCACTACGATTTTAATTCCCTCTTAGCCCTCCCTAAGGAGCCCTGGTTAAGTTAACTGCAAGGCCAGTAGTCTAAACCCACCAGCCATCTCGAGAGAGAATGGTGAGGTTGTCTGCCCCTTGAAGACTTACGGTCTCAGAAACCCTAAGGAATAGTTCTACTCTGTCCTGTAGGTTCTTTGTGAGGCAGAATCGACTCACTCTCCTTCAACAAGGCTAATCTTTTTTTCCTGAAGTGTTTTTTCTTTGGACTAAACTCCATCTTTGAAAATGCCCTTTAGAGAGAGGTGTAAGCATCTGTTTGTGTGAGGAGATCTTGATTTCCTCTCCTGTCTGAAAGGTGATTTTCTGAGTAGTGTATATATAATTCTGGGAGGACTTGTTAATTTTCTTTTCCTCTGGCCTGTGTTCTGGATTATTTATTTGGATGTCTATCAGTGCTTCTGGAGTGTTCTTCATCTACCCGTTGCATGTGTGATTTTAATTGCTATGCTTTTTATTTCTGGAGCTCAAAAGGATTAAGGACTTTGATCAAAGTTGCAGAGCTTGATAGAGGTGAAATTTAGCCCTGGGACTATTGAATGCTTAACAAAATATATGCCACACACTGAAAACAATATCCATAACCACAGTGGCAGCTCTTCCCTTGTCTTGGGATATGCCAGGTTTACCTTACTGTATTAAGAAATCAAGAGAGACAATAGTAGTGATCACATTGTTGCAGCATTGTGTGACTGATTTTGTTTTAACTGTGAAACTTGTAGCTAGTCTAATCTTGGATAAAAATTAAACTTCTACATGAAATTTCCCACCAGCCCCCTTCCTCACTGTCTGGGTTTAAAAAATATTTTTGCTAGTGATTTGCCTGCTGTTCACCCCCAAAGCCTTTGGATGTGCTCTTCTGGTTTTGTGACATACGTTCCCACCAGGTCTTCGAATTCCTCAGAAAATTTGCTCAGGATAATCTGCCCAGCCACCTACACTGAGCCTCTGTTCCCCCCAACAGCTCCTCTGTGTTTGAGTTGCTGTCCAGTCTTGGAGCCGGAGACCTGATAGGACCGTGGCGATCACTGGGTGCTTGGAGCCTTGGTGGCTTCGGGGCTGAGGGCTTTCCTGCTGAATGGAAAGTTGGCGATTCAAACCCTTTTGATGCTCTGTGGTGACGAGAATTTGATGATCATAATTTGTAAAGATTATAGTCCAGGACACCTTCTGAAACAGCCATCATACAGGGTCGCTAGAGTTGGAATTAGCCCTTTGGAAGACAGGCCTCAAGGTGTGATTCCAAAGAGCCCCAGCCTTGGAAATCCCGTGGAGCAGCTCTACTCTGACCCAGCTGGGGTTGTCTTGGGTTGCAGTTAACTTGAGGGCCATTAACAACAGCGAGAACACTTATTTTAAAAACGGGAAATTTCGCAACCTAGAACTCCCTGCATCCAACTGAGATCACATTCCCAGGCCCGCAGCATGTTTGTGGGAGAACACGATTCACTTGGGAACATGCACCTAATTCATAACCATGTTTTAAGATATGATGGAATGAAGTTTTAGAGGGAAAAGATAAGAGTTATTTCTCCTAAGAGCTCCAATGTGCACGATCATGATTTTAAGTCACGACAAGTGTGTGTACTGATGGACATTTAAAATAATCATTATTCAATATTTTTTGTGTTTTCGTCATTCTCTAGGGGGGGGAAATAGCATTATTTAATGAGAATGGGTGCCTTTAAGATTTGTGTTAACACAGTTTATGGGTTACCTGAATATTTTATAATTATATTTTATAATGTGGCTCTTTTCGGGGGGGGGGGGCAAGGCTAAAATATTTGGTACATGACATTTAATAACTGACCACCGCTCAGTGTATGTGCTGATGTACTTGGTAAACATTCTTTCAAAACTGTTTCTGGTTGATGTTGGCACCATGCTCACCCTTGATACAGTGATATAGCCTTGTTGGGAAGGTGTTTTCCCCCACCCCTGGGCTGTATGTCTGTCTTGCTGTTTTCATGCTCAAGGAAGCAGTGGTTTTCAGAAGCTGCACCTGAGTGGTGTGTAAAACAATACTTTTGTGTTGTAGTGTCCCAGGAGCTTTTGCTGACAATTCCAGTTTCCAAGCCAACTGCTGGGCAATGGTGAGGGCTTCGCTCCGTTCTCCGATCTGCTGTCAACCATGAGTGGATGGATGTGCGATGCCTGCTAGCCCAAAAGGGTGAGTGTGAGTTTAAAATTCTTTATCTGAAATGTCACTGGAGTAAAAGTCTGGTGGGGCTGGGGGCCTACATAGTGCAGGAAACAGATAGAAATCCTAAGCCCCTCAGGATGATTGTCCCCTGATGGTGAGAGAACCACATTTTGAAAGAAAGGACACATCCTGTCATCTCTTTTGATATAACCTTTTCAGGCAACTTATAAGGTGTAATGACACAGAAGAACTTGGTATTTTAGTTTAGTTTACTTAATTATACACTGAAGGTTGGACTATCCAAGTGGACCACGTGCAGACTCAAAAATGAGTCATAGCTTTTCTGGTTCCATTACAACTTGGCCATGAAATGAACCCCTAACGACCTCATTTTGAGTTTGGGGGCATACTTTAAGTCTGCTTTGCTCAGTGAGAAGATCCCGGCCGAAGCTCTTCGTGTTCTTATGACTGTAGAAAGCCAAAGTTGTTGAGAGCTTTGTACCGCCAAAGGCTTGTTATCCAGTTTACTCAGGAGGTTATTCATCATGGTTTGCAGGGAGAGGCAGAAGAGGCTGGCATCTTTTTCTGTGAGGGGTGTTTCCCTGTGCATGGCATCTTTTTCTGTGAGGGGTGCTTTCCCTGTACCAGTATCTTTCCCGCCTTCGGAAGCAGACGGTTCGTTCTTTAGGATGTGTCAACAGTTGTTCCTTGGCTGAGGCATATGTTTGGGATAAAAATTGACACCATCCTGTGATACCTTCGCTATCCAATGAAGTCAACTTTAAGGGGATCTATTCAATTTCTGATTTGGTTTGGGACAGCACTTATTGGTAAGGATCATTGACATAAATTCATCTCATTTGAATGGAGGGCGGGGAATGTAGTGAAGTAGAAAAAGAACTATATTGGGAGTTGGTAGACCAAAAGGTTTATTGTCCTGAGGCCACTTAATCTCTCTCTGCTCTGATCTCCTATATATTTAAAACAAAGCTAGTAGGTTAGAGAATTCTATCCTGTTCATGCTAACAAGGGCCCTGTAAGTTGTCTCTTTAAATCCCTTCATTTTACCAATAGGGCAGTTGGGACCATAGACGCTTAAGTGAAATGCCTCAGGCCCTGGGTTTGGTGAAGGCTGGGCCCCAGTGTCCTGGCCTATTATCATTGGTTCTTTGGAGCATATTCCAGTATATAGTAAATCTCTTCTGATAATATGTGGTCTCCTTCAGACCTCATTATATTTTCACTCTTTAGGCCATACTTTTACAGATTTTATTTAGGCCAGACTGAAAGTTTTTATAGCTAAAAATCACTTCAACTAATCCTCCCACTTCATGGATAAGAAAAATGAACCTTAAAGAAGCAGTTAGCCCAATACCAGAGACCAAGTGATCCTTAGAGTCTGGTCACTTTCAAATCCACTTCCACCTAGGCTAGTTTTGTTAGCTGCTGCTACTTGTCATTGCTTTCTGTTGGATGTACAGTTAGGTGAGTGAAAACATGACAATAAATAAGACAAAAATGGGAGTGCCTAAGGCAAAGAATGTCCACAGCGAAAGGAAATGGTTTGTGGAGCCGTGGTGCTTTTAGAGCTGTTGGAGTTCTTCAATCATCCTCTAGGTGGTCTTGGGGCAGTCCTATGGTGTCCTCATGTATGCAGGTCTGGTGAGGTTTTCTCATTGCTGTAAGCAGTGATAGACTTTTGTGAATGATCTGTAAATTATTGAACGGAGTGCAATTGTTAAGAGAAATTATATCTTTGGGGAACCAAGTAGGCATGAGAACAGAGCATAGGTATGTCTCCTATACACATGGAAATGCAGAGACAGAGGGGGCTCATAAAGTATTGAAGAAGGAACAACTTGGATTTTAGGTTACCTGCCATCTCTGTCTTCTGTATTGAGAGCATCTGACTCAATCTCAGTATCATAAAATTGATGTCTGAAATTTAACAAAACCACATGAATGGATTTGTTGAAGACTAGACTCGTTGTATTCATTAATTTCACCTGGGTAAGGCCCATTATTTGAAGAATCAATCTGGAGAACTGTAATGAAAATACAGTTTCCTCTGAATTGATGAAATGTGCTTTTGGGCCAAGTAGCATACTCGTTTCTTCTAAATAAGGAAGTGTTTTGTATTTATCAGATTGTAATAAACTTCCTTCCACTGTATTTTTAGTAGGAAATAGAGATACACAGAATCTGATGAGCCGGTGCACGTGTTCTGATTGTCCTCCCACTATTTTTCCTTAGGGCACATCTCCAAGGCTTGTTCTCTCTCTTTCTCTCTCTCTCTCTGTCTCTCTCTCTCTGATGCAATAACTTGGCTTTTCCATGAATTATGCATCTGAGAGCTAGCCGCTCTATTGTCAAAATTCATTCACAGCCCCCATGGCTTTAGAACTTTACAGTTTATTGAGTAACCGAGAGGAGTGCCAGATAATTGTCACAGCTGATAAGTGGATTCTTTAGACCTGAAATAAACTCTGATCCCAAGTCAGCAGCTTCCTGGTAAGTCTCCTCATGGTGATCAGCCAGGGCCCAGTCTCAGGGTTAGGCAGGTAGAACAACAAATTGCCTCACTCAAATGCAAAGAAAGAACAAAACTGGAAGAGGAAAGATTTGCATGGATAGGTTGGTACAGCAGATTTTT